AGCGATGGCGACGATGATGACTGTGATGGCGATGACGACGACCTCGATGACATCGACGACGACGACGACTGAGTAAGGAGGGATGGAATTTGATGTCTCGTGATCGGCGCGGGGGGCTCAGCGAGAGATGGGGATGAAGCTGGGCGGCGCCATAGCTGATCACCCAGAATGTGCTCACACGCAAACTCACACGCAAACTCATACGCGTATGAGTTTGCGTGTGATTTTACCTCGTGCGTGGGAGTTGGCTAAGCCGATTGGTAGGAGGTAGCTCCAGTCCACGCTGCCCCGCCCCCCCCCCCCCTGAGGGCGAGGACATCTCCGCCTCCCCTTGCAGCAAGGGGTTGGGATCCAAGGGGGGCCGATGAGACTAACTGGAGGAGAAGATGGGAGGAACCGGGAGATGAGGAGGAAGAGAAAGGGTAGCAGGAGCAGGAGCAAGCTGAGGAAGAGTAGGAGGGGAGGTGAAGCGGAGGGAGTAGGAGGAGGAGACACTGAGGAGGAGAGCGACGATGATCCCGCAGGTGGCGCTGGCCCAATCACTCCGCCGAAGAGCCGCAAGAAGACGGTGCAGGCCGCGGGCAAGCTCTTCAAGCGGGTCGAGGAGACGTTTGCTTGATTTTTTCTTTCTTCTGATATTGAGGCATTCTGCACTTGACGGGTGGCCCCCACACCTATCTCGATGTCGCCGTGCAGGAGGAGGTGGAGGAGGGGAGGAGAACGGGGGCTAGGTCGGGAGGGGCACGAGAGAGATGGACCAGCAGAAGAAGAACTCGGTAGAGGAAGGAGGAGGAGAGAAGATGGGGGGGAGGGAGAGGGCCAGGGGGCAAAGGAGGGCAACCTCCAACTCTTCTGACCAATCCTTCCCCCAATATGTATCGCTCCTCGTTCTTTCTCGCTATCTCCCCCTCTCTCTCTCTCTCTCTCTCTCTCTCTCTCTCTCTCTCTCTCTCTCTCTCTCTCTCTCTCTCTCCTCTCTCTCTCTCTCATCTCTCTCTCTCTCTCTCTCTCTCTCTCTCTCTCTCTCTCTCTCTCTCTCTCTCTCTCTCTCTCTCTCTCTCTCATCTCTCTCTCTCTCTCTCTCTCTCTCTCTCTCTCTCTCTCTCTCTCTCTCTCTCTCTCTCTCTCTCTCTCTTTTTTTTTTTTTTTTTTTTTTTTTTTTTTTTTTTTTCTTTCTCTCTCTCTCTCTCTCTCTCTCTCTCTCTCTCTCTCTCTCTCTCTCTCTCTCTCTCTCTCTCTCTCTCTCTCCCGCTCTATGCCCGTCTCTTCTCGACGCCGCGTGGCTTCGAGTGAGCCGACGGCTCGGACGTGGATCGGGCGGCGGCGCACGGCCGCGGCCGAGAAGGCCCTCGCCGCGGCGGCCGCGAGGGACCTCGCCAAGGCGTGGTGCTTCCACATGCAGGAGGCTCGTTCCCCCAGAGATCGCCCGCATCGGAGTCCTCGCTCCGCCTCGCTCCACCTCGCCCCACCTCCCCCGCATCCTCGTCCTCATCCTGGCCCCTGGGCCCCGAGGCTGAAGACCTCCAATGTTCCACGGAGTGGCTGCACAAATCAAAGTTGGACCATGACCGTCTGGAAGATTACAAGGACTTGATCAAAGACACTCGGTCCGTCCTGCTGGCCCGCGAGATCGGGCTGAACAAAAACCTGGCCAAGGATAGAGGTGGGCCAACATGGTGGGGGGGCCCTTAATTCGGTCTGGGGTGCAGGGGGCCCGCGGGGATGGGGGCCACGTGCGCCCAAGCGTGGGGCCCCCCCCAGCTGCGTTCCCAGGAAGCGGCGCAGATCGTGGTGGAAAAGAACGAGAAGCGGTGGCGCCTCGCCAAGAAAGCGGAGTCTTGGGTGACCGATGCGAGCAAAAACCTGAGGAACATGATCCGACACGTGAATCAGGGCATCCTCAAGAACCGCGGGGCGAAACAAAACCACATGACACTTCGCGGGGAGGGGGGGTCGGACGTGGCGCGAGCCCTTGTGTCTTGGTGTCGCCGAGCGCGATGGCCGCCATCGGTTCGAACCTCCCCTCCCCTCTCGCATCAGAGCCTAAGACTCTGGCCCCGCCCCCCTCCGAGGAAGCGAAAGTGGGCGAGGCAGTTTCTTACTGAGTCCGAGGGGCCCTGGCAGGAGGACGTCGGATATCGTCATTGCCACCCCCTCCCAATTCTATTCCTTCTCCTCGTCCTGCTCCTCCTTCTCCTCCTCCTCCTGCTCCTCTTCCTATCTCTTCCTCGCCTTATCTGGTGATCAGTTCTCCTTCGCCCGTGCCCGCCCTACAAGAGCCAGGGGTTCAGGCCCCCGCCCCCGCCCCTCGACCGCGGGGCGAGGGCGCCCCCGACGGCGAGGTGGGCGACGACGCGGACGACGACGATGACGCCGCCGCGCTCAAGATTCTCCGTCGGCCAGCTGCATCACGTGCCCCGATGAAGGTGAGACCCGCGGCGAGGCAGCTGGGCGACCTCAAGGTGCTCGAGGAGAAGGACGGCTGGGCGCTGGGCTGGAACGACGTGACGAAGGTCAACAGGGGGCGAAGGGCGAGGGAAGCGGGGGGAGCGGAGGTGAGGGAGGGCAGGGGAGCCGAACAAATGCATTGCGATTAGGAGGAGGGGGGGGGAGGGGGGAAAAGGGAAGTTCGAAAGACAATCAGGTATATGGAAGAGGGAAGGCAGGGGGAGGATGAGGGGCGGCATGGGGGGGGGGGGGGGGGGGGGTGGGCTTTCCCCCCCCTCCCCCCCCCCCAACTCCCCTCCCCCCCGCCATCCCTATCCCCAATCCCCATCCCTCTCCTCCCCCTTCTCCTCCCCCCCCCTCCTCCTCCTCCTCCTCCTCCTCCTCCTCCTCCTCCTCCTCCTCCTCCTCCCCTCCCCCTCCTCCTCCTCCTCCTCCTCCTCCTCCTCCTCCTCCTCCTCTCCTCCTCCTCCTCCTCCTCCTCCTCCTCCTCCTCCTCCTCCTCCTCCTCCCTCCTCCTCCTCCTCCTCCTCCTCCCTCCTCCTCCTCCCCTCCTCCTCCTCCTCCTCCTCCTCCTCCTCCTCCTCCTCCTCCTCCTCCTCCTCCTCCTCCTCCTCCTCCTCCTCCACCTCCTCCTCCTCCTCCTCCTCCTCCTCCTCCTCCTCTATCCTCCTCCTCCTCCTCCTCCTCCACCTCCTCCTCCTCCTCTCCTCTCCTCCTCCTTCTCCTCCTCCTCCTCCTCCTCCTTTTCCCCCCCCCCCCCCTCCCCCCCCGCCCGCAACCTCGTTTTGGGATGCGACCTCGGGCAGCTTGGCGCTTCAAGATGAGCGAGGACAAGAAGATGGCGCAGCTGCCTGAATTTTTGGGATGCGACCTCGGGCAGCTTGGCGCTTCAAGATGAGCGAGGACAAGAAGATGGCGCAGCTGCCTGAATTCCAGAGGCCCGCACGCGTCGGAGATCATCTTGGGGCGACCTTTCCTGATGGGCTAGCGCGGCGCATTCCTGGAGTCGACGCTGAGACGGTGGGCGAGGGCAAGGCCAACAGGAACATCTTCTTCAGGCAGCCGGTGCCCGACGAGTACAAGGATACCCAGGTGAAGTTGGTGAAGAAGAACGACGTGACCTGGCTGCAGGCGACGAAGGGCCCACGCGAGCAGCTGATCCAGATGACAGGCATCCCGCCCGAGAAGCTGGACATGGCCAAGACGTGCTTGATCGGCCTCATCCAGAACTACGCGAGTGGCAAGATGGACAAGACGGGCATCGAACAGAAGAAAGCAGAGTGGCTTGAGTACCACGCGCCGAAGCCGAAAGCAAAGGGCAAAGCCAAAGCAAAGGGCACAGCAAACAAAAAAAAAGAAGCCACACCAAAGAGCAAAGTCAAGACGAAGGTCGACGACGACGACACTGATGAGAAGAGCGTCGGCCCCAACCACGACGGCGGCAGTGGCGAGGAGGAGGGCGAAGACGCCGGCGAGGCCGAGGATGGCGAGGAGGAGGAGCAAGAAGGGGAACAGCCCGAAGAGGAACCCGCGGAGCCCGTGCAGAGGAAGCCAGCAGGGAAGACCGAGCCCACGCCGCTCGAGGAGGACGAGGAGGAGGAGGAGGAGGAGGAGCCCACAGTGCCAGTTATGAAGAGGCCAGCAGCAGCGGTGACCGCATCCCTCGAGGAGCCCATGGTGAAGAGGCCCGCGGCAGCCTGTGGCGAGGTGGCCGAGAAGAAGCTCCGCCGCGAGCAGTCGCCCAAGAAGAACACGATCAAGAACGCGAACCTCGAGAGGACGCCGCCCCAGCCCGCGACCCAGGAGATGGCCGAGCCCGACGGCCGCATTTCCGCGGGGGCTATCCCGCCCGACATGTTCTGGTGATGTGCATCGGCCGCGCTGCAGCGCCGATGAAACAATCGCCTCCTCGGTTTCCCAAGCTCGAAAACGGTATGAAATGTTTTGGCTATCGGTGCCCATCCATTCCGCCACATTTGGGCGCGGCTCGGAAAATGGGTGCGTTACCCATCGGAGCTTATTCGCAATTTCAGAATTCATCCAACTATTCCATTCCAGCACCCTCTTTCGTCGTAGTCGTCCTCGTCCTCCTCGCCCCCCTCCTCCTTGTCCTCATCCGCCCAGGCTAGTCGCTGACTCCCCCTCGCCTTCTTCTCATTCGCGGCTCGCCCAGCAAACCCTCCCCCTGGCAGCTTTGCATCCTCGCCCTGAGCCCAATCGGCTGCGAGGAGCCCTTGCGTCCCCGAGAACCGGTTCGATGCACCCCCCCGCCCAATGCATATTCCGCAGGCCCCCATCGGAGGCGGGAAGCGCGCGGGAGGAAAAGGAGGAGGGGGAGACAGGGGGAGGGGAAGCGAGGCGGGAGAGGAGGGGAGAGGCGGAGAGAGGAGGGAGGGGGGGAGGAAGAGCGAGGAGGGAAGAGAGGAAATGTAGGGGGACAATCTGAGAGGGATGAGGAGGAAGCGGATGAGGAGGAGGAGTTAAGCAAGCGGGTACGAGCGGTGATGCATACACATATATAGAGAGAGTTGATAACAGCTCGTCTAAAGGAGATGTTGAGCTCCAAGGGCACCATCGACGAAATGGAGGTTGACAACATTTTCAACAACATCTACCGCGACCCGTCCTTCTTCGCCCTGATGACGAGCAAGGGGCGCAGCAACGTCGACAGAACAATGCAGGACCTGGCCCAGGACATGTCGCCTGAAGGGCATTTGTACTCGCCCGCGAAGTGGGGCCACCCGCTGTCCGACGATCAGAAGAAACAGGCCGAGCAGGAGAGGATCGCGGACGACGGCGACGAGTCGGCTGGGAAGGGCAAGGGCACGCTCGCCCAGGAGCTCGATTTCTGGAAAGGCGTCGCTGACAATGCATTCAAAGTTCCGACGGGCAGCCAGCAAGGCGCCATTGCAGGGCGCTGGGCTCGCGCCATGGAGTCCGATGGTGAGATGGGGGCGAAGTACAACAGCATAACAGGTGAGAAAAAGAACCTTCGAAAGCAGCAGTTCAGGGAGGACTGGGCAAAAAAGAAATACGACCAGGCGAAGGACGGGCCGCGGAGCGGGGTGGCGGGGGGGGGATGACCAGGAACAGATGAAAGAGGAAAACAAAAACCATCCAATGACGAGGTATGGGAAAGAGAGGCTGGAGGAGTAAGGGGGGATGAGCGGGGGGGGAAGATAGGGCAGAGGAGGACGTGGGAGGGATCGGGGAGGAGGAGGAATGTGGTCGGCGGCGGGTGGGAACGAGCATGTACAACGCATAGCTAACTCCGCTCCCAGGAGGGCGCGAAGCACGTGCGTGAGCTCAAGAGGTCCGAGTGGACGCAGGGCAAGTATTTGCCCCTGGCCCGCATCGCCCACAAGTTGGGCGGAGGCGCCCTTGGATGGCGCCAGGCGTTGCATGAGGAGCACGAGTTAGAAGGGGGATGATGGGATGGTGGAAGGGCAAGCGGGAGAACGGACGAGGAGGGGAAAGGTGGAGAGGAGCTGAAGGAGGGAGGGGATATGAGGAAGGGCGAGGCTGAGGACGATGATACCGATCGAGCTGAGGAAATAGCTGGATGAGAGCTGGCGATCACCAAACTCATACGCGAACTCATACGCGTATGAGTTTGCGTATGAGTTCGCGATCGGGGGTAGGGGTCTGGCGGAGCGCGCCTCAGCCTGAGGCTGTGACGATGTTCGCCAAGTGCATGCAGCTCGGGCCGCCGTGGATCATGTACGATCCGATGACGGAGGCGCTGAGAGGTTTGCACATCGAGATCGCAGCGGCCCTAGATCTGTCTTGCCACATCTCCGATCGATCGCTCAGAGTGTCGGCCGACAGAGCCCCTAAGAATCCAGTCTGCGCGGCAGTCTGGATTTTTCATGGGCTGTTTTTTTCTCCTAGGTGGGAAACCAAAGGCGGTGGGTGGGTATCAGATCGGGGTGGTAGAAGGAATCGGCCGGCCATCCAAATTATTTCTCCCTTGCTACGTTCGCCCTCTTGCGTCTGCTTCGCACTTCGATGGCCCTCGCCGTTTCCCGAATCGCCCCTGGCCGCTGTCCGCCACGCTTCACCCAAGATCCCCTGTGCCATTGTGATCTAGCAGAGTTTCGCGCACCCCATCGGAGCTGAGGGCTTCTCGCGCGTCTTCACGGAGGCTTGGCAGATGCGCGCGGAGTGGTCCATGAAGGACGATGAGCAGCCCCCGAAGCGCGAGCTGAAAGCGGAGCGAAGGGTGAATTTTATAATCCTACATAATTTGCCCCCTGGATATCCTCGAGAAGCTTGCCCCACCCCGCAACAAAAAACAGTTCTCGAAACATCGTTTACGCATAGAGAGCATTAGGACGAAACATCGTTGACGCATACTGTTTGGGCAGCTCCCAGTAAGGAGACCTTCGCGGAGGACAGCGAGGCAAAGCGCAGGCGCATTTCTGGGAAGCAACAGGGAGCTGGCCAGCAGAGCGGGCAGCCCGCGGACGGCCAGGACGCGGGCACCGAGGCCGCCGCTGCCCCGCAGGAGCTGGGCAAGCGCAAGAAGAGGGGAGGAGCGGGCACCGCTGCCGAGAGCGGCGGTGGTAAGACGGCCGCAGCCGCCGCCGCGGATGAGGAGAAGGCCAAGAAGAAGGCCGATAAGGAGAAGCAGAAGGCCGAGCGGGAGAGGCAGAAGGCTGAGAAGGAGAGGCAGAAGGCTGAGGAGGCTGCCAAGAAGGCCCAAGACCCAGTCGAGCGTGAGAAGATGGCGGTGGCCTCCGCAAAGAAGACCCTGTTTCAGTGCAGCCAGCTCGCGCAGCAGGCCCGCCAGATCATCATGTCGACCGAGGCCGGCGGCCGGTGGGCGAGCTTCAAGGCCGACGAGGACCTGATCGCCCTGAAGCAGAAGATGGACGAGCTGTCCGCGAAGGTCATGGACAACAGCCTGTTCTCCAAGTGCACCATGACCGAGTTCACCAAGGTCAAGAGCGTCGTCGGCGAGAAGCACTGGGAGGCCGCCTTGTTGGCCGTCAACGGTATGGGCCAGGCCTTGAACTCCATCCAGGGGAACCTGAAGGTTCTGATGGCCTCCTTCGAGCTCAAGCAGCAGCGCGCGGCCAGCGAGAAGGTCGCGCAGGCTGCGGAGGCGTAGGTCGCCCGCTCTCTTCGGCAGCTAGCCTCTCCTACTACATAATACCTTTGTGTCCCCCCTCCTTCGCAGCTGCCTGCGCCGCGGATCGGTGCCATGATGTTTTAGACAGGCGTGCGTGCAAACATTTCAGCTGGCGCAAGCGCTTTATCTGTCTGAATGTCAGCGAGCTGAATGTGCCATAAGGGAATTTGCAGAAATCCAAAACATATCAGGAAAACAGACGAATATTTGAAGCAAATGACGAAAACACTGCCGTATGAACTACCGTGTGAAAACTCGTGATCATATGGTACCCGCACAACCGTATGAACATGCATATTTCCTGTATTTTTACAGGGTTTGAACCGGATGAAAAGCCCCCAAATGGATCTCACATGGAAATTCATACGCGCATGAGGTACCATGTGAAAACGAATGCACCAGGGAAGGGCCGGGATATATTGGGCCGGCATACAAAATATAGGTCTGCAGAGATATTTCAGAAGGGCCCAGGGCCGCGGGAACCCTCCAGGAGCATCCCAGGGGGCACATTACCTTGAAGCCGGCAGCGAGTTTACCTGCAGCGCCAGCCTGTCTGCCAGCGAGCAACATTGTACTTTTTTTGTATAATGCTGCGCCAGAGTTGGAGGGCAACGCTCCAGGGATTGGAGAGCATGGCACTCCGGCTCTGAGGGCGAGCCTGGCGGTCTGACGACAAATTTCTGTGCGGCCTGCTGAGGCCAACTGCATTTCGATTGCTCATCCCTGCGCCTCGCTGCAGACCTGCGCGCGCGCGGTGACTCATGGCGCGACCTCGCGAGAGAATAGGGGCAGCGTGATGTCAAAGATGCTTCGTGATCGGATCTTGGCGCCCGCAAGATGCAGCTGGCGTAAATTCCCAGACTACTTATCTCTCGGCCTCGTTTCGCCGCTCCGTCGCTTCCCCTCTTCCCTACCCTCGCTCTCCAGCGCTCTCCCTGGGGCGCGTGGTAGACTCGGGCCGAGGCGGCGTGCGAGATGCAGGGGTCTGGCGGGATCGGCGCCAGGCAAGTAAATATAGCTAGAGTCGAACTTGGGGGGGCCTTCCGAGACGCCGAGAGTCGCCTGAGATTGGAAGGGGGAGGGGAGTTCTGTGCGCCCCATCTGCTTTCACACTGCCCCCCTACTCACTGACCATCCCCATTCGGCCCATGCCCCCCTGCTGCTGGCGAGGAGGGCGCCCCCCTCCCTGTCCTCAACAATCTCCTCCTACGCCCCGCCTTCTCATCCATCATGCCACTCGCGCCTCACGCCATGACCATGTCATTCATCACAGCCAGAACTAGCATCACCAATCAATCATTCACCAACAGCTGCAATTTGTATCAAGCGCCGCGCGCGAGCAGAGTTTGCTTCGCACTAATGGAGGGCGACAGGTCTCGCGCGCCTCCTGGGCCCAGAGCGTGGACGCCTAGCACTCATGCCGAGAGGGAAGCAGGCGCTGCCATGCTAACTCTTCTGTTGGAAATGTATGCATCGTGTTCTATTTCAGCGAAGAACTTCGCCACGCTCTGCCATTACGGCACATCCGCAAACATTAGAGGTGGCGATTGGTCTCGCTACGCCGTGAAACCAGGGCAGAGTTCTGGAAACTACCAGCAGCACTTAGACCGCGTGCTTGGACCTCCTTCTGGTGTATATGATAACGTATCGGTCCCGATGTTCGATCAGACTCATGGTCGCGTGCTCAGGACGGTGCCGAACAAGATCATTTGGGACTCGCTGGAGTCGGAATTCAGAACAGACAGGGATATCGCCCGCATACTTGCCTCACAGACGCACCCCGTGATGATGGTGCCAGCTTACAACCATCACCCCGTCGTGATCGAGGCGAGGCAGCAGGGCCGCCAGCCGCCCATTCCGTTGGGATTCTATCTCGACGGCGTGCAGTATATATCGCAGGCCGCGGGCCGAATCGACACTGCGCTGGGGTTCTGGATAATCAACATGCTATCAGGACGGCGCCATTTCATCTCGGCACTGAAAGGGAAGGACTTATGCCAGTGCGGGTGTCGGGGCCACTGCTCCCACTTCCCAGTTATGCACCATGTGCGGTGGCAACTGCGAGCGATGCAGCGAGGCGCCGTTCCAACCTTGCTGTGCGATGGCCAGAGCCCATGTCCAGAGCAGTGGTCTCCAGGCAAACGCCTACCCTACACAGCAATTATGCTGTGCATCAAGGGCGACTGGGCAGAACACACGCACACCCTCGGCTTGGTGCCTTGGGGCGCGGCGTGGAACCCCTGTCAGTTCTGCTGGCTCGAAAAAAATCAGCTTCATGACTGCGACGATGCACTTTGTGATCCAGACCCTCCGTGGCCCCTGAAGGACCACGGCTCGTACGAGAGGTCGTGCGCATCTTGTGAAGTTCATGTTGAGTTAGTCAAGCCATCAGACGTTCAAGCTTTGGGGGGCTCCCTGAGATGGAACAGGCCGCCGACAGGGGTCGGCGGGAGGCTAATATTTAAAGATATTGTCATCAACAACGTCGTCCTCAACGTGGGGGACAGGCTATGCCCGTCTGAATCGCTGCCCAACGTTGGCGCCCTTAACGATGTTTCGGTTCCATTGTGGGTGACGCTCTGGCGCGCCAGGAGGGACCCGCAAGGGAAAGTCATGGATGCCGTCAACAACAGATGTCCATTATTCTGCCAGGAGCTTCATACATCGCCAGCAAAGTCGCCGGCCGTCGACATCTTACACACATTGTATTTCGGGCCCGCCATGCGCTGGATGAGCGCGAGTCTGCACAGAATTATTCTCAAGAACCCATGGCGCATTGGAGGCACGATGGATCAGGTCTATGCCATTGGGACTAACTACATCAAGTCGGACATGGCCATCTACATGGTGGCCAACGTACCGCAGGAGAGGCACCTCAACACGCTGACAGTCAAGATGCTTGGCAAGCGTCGAGGTGCATCTCTTCAGGAGCCACTTTTGTTAGCTTTCCTTAAGCTTGGTCACCGTCGTCATCGCATCAGTCAGCCTGTTTCCCTCCTTCTCTCTCACTCGACCCCCTTCCCTGCCACACCCCTCAACACGTCACTAAAATCCCACGACCCACCCGTCGATTTTTGCAGGGCGTCAGAAGCTTCGACCATAGGCCTTGGCGGGAGGGGAGCCGGAAGGGGGGGGTCGGGGAGCGAGAAAGGGAGGAGGTCGGGGGGCGAGAGAGGGGGAGCGTCTGGAGTTTAGAGGTCGAACAGTTGCCAAGAGGCGAGGAGGTGTGGAAGGCTCAGGTCGGGAAAGAGTGGAGAGGCTGTCTCTGTGCTCCTCATCCTCGATCCTCCTCAACCCTAGATCGCATTGTCCAGTTGTCTCTGCCTCCTCCAATGACTTCAATCAATTATGCGCGGCAGTCCCCTCAATCTATTCCCTGGCTGTCCTCGCCGACAACCTCCTTCCATTTCTATGCGAAACGAGGCAGGGTCGCCTATGATGAGCGGCGCGGGCAGCGGCCCCGCCATTCCCAGAAGCTGGGATAACCCCAGGGGTACGGAGTCCAAGATCTTGCTGCCCATCCCTCATCCTGCTTCTCTCGCCCCTCTCACCCTTGCCTCTCTCGCTCCTCCCCCTCGTTCCACCGTGTCCTATCTCTCCCGCTCGTCGCCCTCTTCCTCCTCCTCCTCCTCCTCCTCCTCCTCCTCCTCCCCCGCCTCCCACTCCTCCTCCTCCTCGTCACCTCTCTCAACCTCCGTCCTGCTGCTGCTCCTCGTCCTCGCTTGCATCCGCAGCCGTTTGGGCTCAATCAGCATCGAGGTTCTACATGCAAGTCAGTATGAATCTCTCGCGCTTCACTCCCGAGGAGGACGCCGCGATTGACAGTGGCGCAGGCAGATCCGATGGCAGACGTTGGAAAGTGAAAGGAGGCGTCACGATTGATGGTGACAGTGGCGCTAGCGGGCCCCGCGACACGGGCCCCGACGGAGTGGCGACGGATCTTGGCTACGTCGACGCGAGCACTTACGAGTTCGAAGCTTGGCTCCTCGACCCTGGCCTCTTCGAGTTCTCCGACGGCGTCAAGAAGGGCCGCGGCGACGTCGACGCGGCCGCCTGCGAGTTGTCCGACGGCGTCGTGAAGGACCGCGCGACGGATTTGAGCGTCGCCGAACGGGAGCCGGATCCATTGGGCCCTGCAGGGGTGGAACCGCTCAATGCGGCAGATGGCCATGCACAGGCGCCCGTGGCAGGACTTAGGTCAAAGACAAAACTCCACATCACTCCTCCCTCTCCTCTTACTTATCTCCCTGGTATGCTCCTCTCTTCGTTTTGCTGTTGCTTTCCTCTTGCCTCGCCCTCACTTCCTCTGCCCCCTCGCCCATCCTCTGCCAGGGTCCGTGGGGGCGCCGAGGTAAACGCGCCTCGCTTCCTGGGCCGCGGTTGGCCCCTGGGCACAGATAGGGTAGCGCGGCACGCGCCTGAACTCACATGCAAACTCATACGCGCATGAGTTTGCGCGTGAGTTTCCCCCGCTGTCCAAGACGTCGAACCCCAGGAGGCGATCGCAGAGGGTCTGCTGGACTCCAGGACGCTGTCGTGCGAGAAGTGCGTCATCTACCATGAATACTTTGGTGACAGAATGTGCGCCGAGTGCGGCGGCCAATTTGTGCACGCGTGAGTAGGGGCATCGTTTTTGTCAGGCACGAGGGTGCCCGCAGTCGAGCCTCCGTTCGGCGAGCGGCATGCGCCGCCGCCATCTCTGCGCGTGCAGTTGCTCGATCCTGCTGACCTCCTCCTCCTCCTCGCCAGCTCGTCCTCCTTTTCCTCTTCTCCACCCGCGTCCTCCTGCTCATCCCGCCCCGCCCGTGCCCATCAGCATGCAAACATCTCCAGAATCCTCTGCACCCTGGTACATCGATGTCGCTGAAGGCGGCCGAGGTGTCTGCGATGATCGGGTTTGTTCTGTCGCAGCTCGAGAAATGGGGAGGTGCTGAAAGATTCGGGGCGCCTTTGCTAGGGGCGGGTACATCTCTCGTGAC